ATGCCCAGTTCCTCCGTGGGAACTGATCTTTGTTGCCTGGACAGCAGTTGCAGTCCCAGGAGATCTCCAGCCACAACCTGGAGATTGGCAACATCATCTGATGGAGTTATATGTTATTCTCCCACACACACACACACACAACAGAGATCAGTTCCCGAGCAGAAAATGGCTGCTTTGGAGAGTGCTCTCTACAGCTATATACTCTGCTGAGGTCCCTCACCAAACTACGGTTGCCAAGTGAGAACTGAGCCGCAGTGGGAGCTCCCGGAAGTGACGCGGACACGCTGGGGGCGGGGCCACGACCATCCGAGGGAAGACCATAGAGTTTTCCCACGGTGGCCCTGCCCCCAGCATGCCTGGCGTGCCCGCGACACTTCCGGGCGACGTACACGTCGGGGTGGAGTTCCCCTCGGGGCCCGATCCACTGGCAGCGGGGAACGGGCCTCTGGGGCGGGGTTTTCCCCGCCCCCCGGGGGGACTTGGCAAGCCTACCCCAAACCCAACCTCTCCCAGCCCTCGCTCCCCAAATCTCCAGGAAAAGAAGTGGAGGAGGAGGAGATTGGATTTATACCCCGCCCTTCACTCGGAGTCTCAGAGCGGCTTACAAACTCCTTTCCCCCCCCCTCCCCTGTGAGGTTAGGTGGGGCTGAGAGCTCTGACAGAGACTGCTCTTTTTCAAGGACAGCTCTTGTCAGAACTATGGCTTGCCCAAGGTCATCCAGCAGCTGCAAGTGGAGGAGTGGGGAATCAAACCCGGTTCTCCCAGGTTAGAGTCTGCGCACTTCATCACGACACCAAACCACTACGCAACCTGGAGTTGGCATCTCTGCCTTTGAGCCGAACTTCACTGTATGTTTCTTCACTCGTTTACACCTGTTTCTCTGTGTTCCCCAAACCCACCCATCGGCAGGTCTCGGAAGTGTTTTCTTCACTTGATTCTAGGGATTGCCAACCTCCAGGTGGGGCCTGGAGTCCTTCTGGGTTCAGAACTGATTTCCAGAGTAGAGACAAGTTCCCTTGGGGGGGAAACGGCACCTTAAGAGGGCGGGGGCTCTATGATACACCATAGATTTTAGATGAAATCCCATCCCCGACACCCCCCCCCAGGGGACGGCCCCCAAATGTACAGGGATTTCCCAGGCCGGAGTTAGTAACTTGGCATCGAAAACATAAATGAACCATACCTGAAGGGAGGAAGGAGTTATTACAAAATGAAGCCGGAAGGTCAAGAGAGAGAGTTAGCAAGAGAGGAGTACGTGGCCTTACTCTGCTAACCACATGTGAAAACAAGATCCGTTCAAAAGAGTCAACGATCCCATTAGAATGGGTGTGTGGACTCCTCCCATCTGGTAACGAATTAGCACAAGCAAATTGAATCATGTACCTGTAATGATGGGCAATTATTTCCTGCAGGCAGCTAGCCGCTCCCGGTTTCTATTGAGACCATGCGTGGTAGGGTCAAACCCGCATAGGAATCCCAGCTCAATGGCTTCGTTTTGCTGTCTCTCTGGAAACTCCCCCCCCAAGGTAATTTAAAATGCTGAGCCTCTGGTTTTTGGTAACATTTTCCATGTTTGGGCCGTGTCCATTTATTCTCTTGCCTTCCACAACCACCTTGTGAGGTAGGCTGGGTCGCGTGGGAGAAGGGGGAAAGATACTTGGGTAGGCGGAGCTTGGGGGCTGGAATTCTATTAGCAGCCTAGTCCGTCCTAAGCAATTACAAGATGAAATGATGCAGAGATCTTATTTTATTTTATTTATTTATTTTATTCTATTTATATCCCGCCCTCCCTGCATAGCAGGCTCCGGGTGGGTTTCATTGAATTTAGTAAACAATGTTGTAGGATGATTCCGTTGGCCTGTAAAGTTGGTGCGAGGATAAAAATGGAGGAGAGGGGAAATGACGTCAGCCACTTTGGATCCTGCCGGGGAGAAAGGCAAGGCATCAATGAAGGAAATAAATAAATACCAGCAGTCTCGATTGGCCAGTGTCAGTGGCAGGAGCACATTTTGAGTGTCCAGACCTGGTCTCATGTTGAGTTAGTCAGCATGTGTCAAACATCGCTCTGCTCAGTTTGCCATGAATGCTGGGGGGAGGGAATTCCTTAGGTGGGGGGAGCGAGTGTGGAGTGTTAGAGGCCGTAATTCTTCCAAAGAGGCCTTCCTCTATTCCCAGAGGAACGTCTTTGAGACTTCTGGTGCCAGCTTGCGTCTGTAGATAATGGGATCATATATTTCCCAGGTGAAAGGGGGGGAGGACCGCTACGGCTGGCGGGATGGCTGGATGTGAGGTGTGAGTGGCCATTAGGAGGGGCTTCACTTGAATGACCTGTATCTATATACCCGCCAAACTCTTCAATTCTGACAGAGTACAGTCAGGGCTATTTTGGGGGCAGGAACGCACAGGAACGGAGTTCCGGCTGGCTTCAGAGCTGGCCACACCCACTACAGCCGAAACCTCTGTGTGGGTGGCTACAGAGGGAAGGCCTGGAGAGTGACCCCCCCAGCGACTCCGAGGCGGGCGGGCTGGGGGCCCCCGGGAAGGATTGGGGAGACATTTAAATGCCTCCCCGTGCCTTCCCTGGCCGGCTTGCCGCCGGACGCTTGGGCAAACCAAGGGAAAGGGAAGGCATGGGTGTGGCCTAATAGGCTAATGAGATGTGTTGTCAGGGGTGTGGCCTAATATGCTAATGGCTATTAGCCAATTGCGAGTGGGCATGGGTGTGCCCAATTGTTTGTCATAGCTGCAACATAGGATTGGCTAGACATTTGGAGACCACGCCTGCAGTCACATGACCCCAAACTCCAGCTTCTCCATTGCTGACGTGACTTTTTGCATGTGAGGCAGAGCCAGACGCCATCAGGTCTGCCTCTTCCCTTAGAGGTGTGAAAGAATGTGTGGTTATATGGCATGGTTATGAAGTTTTCTCTGGCCAAATGGACAGGCCATTTGGCTTCAACAGGAAACAAGACACAGCATGTTATGAGAATGACATCACAGGAGAAGGCATGGACTTTTAGAAATCAATATTTCTATACAGCTATTTCTACAAAAAAAAGCCCCGGGCACAGTTTTGACCTGGATGTTGCTTATAGCTCAATGAACATATCACTGCCAAAGAGAGTGTTGTTGAGAGTAACTTGACCAGAGGTCTGACAGTCTGCTTGTCAGTTGGATTCCCTGATAAGCGTACTGGGTTTGGTCCCGTGTGATGGTTGGCCCTCTGTTTCCTCAGAGAAATACCAGTTATCCTCAGAAGAGTCAGTTATTGCCCAGTTTCTCTCAGCAAAATTAGAATTATAAGTGAGCTGTCTCTCCAGGGTAGCTGTTGGGTCAAATTAAGATACTGTATTTACTTGAATTTGACCCAGATGGCCCAGGCTAGTCCAGTCTCATCAGATCTTGGAAACTGAGCGGGGGTTGGCCCCGGCTAGTATTTGGATGGGAGTCCACAAAGGAGGTCCAGGGTTGCTACGCAGAAGGAGACAATGACAAGTCGCCTTTCTATATTTTTGTCCTGACCTGGATGGGCAAGGCTAGGTGGATCTGGTCAGTTCTTGGAAGCTAAGCAAGGTGGGTCCTGGTGAGTCCTTGGATGTGTGACCACCAAGGAAGTCCAGGGTCGCTCTGCAGAGGCAGGGAATAGGAGAGCCACCTATGAATGTCTCCTGCCTTGAAAACCCCCACTGGGTCGCCATAAGTCATCTGCGACTTCGACGGCAAAAGAATCCCTTGAAAGGAAGACAACCCAGAATGCAAGACCACCCAGTTTAAAAAGAAAAAAAATACACAAAACGTGTTTCATTAATGCCCATCCCTAACTTGTATGTGGATTTAAGACAGCCACCTGTTGTTGTTTTTCAGTGGCATACTGGGGGGGTGGGGGTGGCCCAATGTTCCCTCTAAGCTGTGGAGTCTTGTGAGCAAAAATTCTACTTTGGGAGCTACTGGCATTAAAGTCGTGAGCGAGCAATTTGGCTGCTGCGTAAATGAGTTTGCTCTGGAGCCCTCCTTCCTGAGCTAAGACAAAAAATGTGTGAGCCGGAGGCTAAAAATCTGTGAGCTAGCTCACACTAACTCAGCTTAGAGGGAACACTGGGGTGGCCCTAGTCTCACATTCGAGGAAACAGAGTAATGGCCTCAAACTACCTGCTTGTAAAAACTCAGCTTAGAGGGAACACTGGGGTGGCCCTAGTCTCACATTCGAGGAAACAGAGTAATGGCCTCAAACTACCTGCTTGTAAAAAATAAAAAGCATAAACATTATATCTCTGCCTGAACGGAGCCTTCCTGCCTGCCTGCCTCGTTCATTCTTTGAGATGGGCATGTGTCAGATTCATATTTCGACACCAGATCGGCTGCTGAACGTGAGTCCCTGACCATGTGTGGCCAGCATTTGCAGTGATACTTCTGCCTTTGGTGGATCAATCCCATTAAGTGTCTGTATAAATAAATCCAGGGGTCATTTCGTAGAAAAAGAGGTGCAGGAGCTCATTAGCATACCTTATTTGCATATGCCACGCCCCCCTGACATCACCGGAAGTGTGTCAGAAGGCAACACCCACCGCTCAGGCTCCACTGGACTGTTTTGGATTGCTAGCTATTGGGGGGGGGGAACGTGCAGATCTGACCTCACAGAGGAGGGAGAGCTCGTACCTGAATAAAACTTGGTCTTAAAGGTGCACTGGACTATTTTGGACCGGGGCGGCGGCGGGGAGGGGGCTCTGCAACTTACCTGGCTGCTTCTTGCTCTGACTGAGGGCTGTTGGGAGCAGGGGGTGGGGCTTGTTGCATGTGCCCGCCCCCTGGACTCTTTACTACCGGAGCTCCACTCCTGTGCGCTCCTGCAGGAAATGACCCCTGAATAAATCTGTCTTAGAATGAACCCCTTTTCTGGAAGATGGAGGTGTTTCTTATGTCAGGAGGCCTTGATTCCAGCTTTCATAGTCAGACACCTAACTGCTTTCTTTTTTGGGGGGGGATTTCTGTTTCTTAGGAGAGACCTTCCGCGTCGTGGATGCGAAAAGAGCTCCCGGCTGTCTTCTTCCTTCTTCCTCTCTCCACTCGTTGGCCTCTTTGGAGAGTTAAAAGGTAATTATTTGCCCGTTCCGGTGTCCTGTTTGTTAAACTGCTTTGTGGGGTAAGTGGGAAAGATGGGCGAGGCCTCTCTCAGTTGGTCTGTGTGGAAATACTTCTTCTTACATCATCTCTGATCTCACGGCCATCGCCTTCCCCTCCCTTCGGCGTATTAAAATGTGTAATGCGCTCATATGAAAGCTCTGAATGCGTTTTGTATACCGCTTTGTGTGTTTTAGACTTGCCTCATTCCTTTTGACGGCCAATGTGGGAACAATCCCGGAAGTTCCCATGCCTGTGGTAAAGAGACGGGAGACAGGTTGGAGGGTCTCCTTTCCCCGGTCCTTTCCAAACTGTTTTCGTTGGCTTTTCGTTTATTCAGTCAGCAGATTTCTACGCCACCTCGCCAGGGGATTTGCCCCCAAGGCGGCTTACGAAACACAACTGAGTAGAAGCACAAAACGCCATGGGAGTTATTAATTAAAATCCAGCCTTAAAAATCCAACGAAGGCAAGAAAAATATAATGAAACAGTTTAAGAAATGAGCCTTACAGTTTCCAGGCGAAAAGCAGACCCTAACAAAAACAGTGTTAGAAGATCCAACTTCTGAATTAAAGGAAATGTTTTGGCCTGGCACCCGACGGAGTAGGAGTGGCGCCAGGTGAACCTCAAAGAGGAGGGCATTCCACAGGTGAGGTGCCACCCCTTGAAAAGCCCCGTCTTTTCAGCCCCTTGCTACCCACTTCATGGCTGAAGGCAAGGACAACAGAGATTGGGGCTTGTGAGGAAGGTATTCGCTGGCGGGCTGAACAGAGACTGTGGTCCTTCAAGCGCCGAGGCCCCAAGACAGTCTCTTCAGTAACCACAACCGGCTTGCTTGCTTCAAATGCTGGCTCACTGGGAATCACGGTTATAATTAACTGTGGTTCGTGACAGTAGTGCTGTAAAGCTGGCAGGGGGAATTCACCGGTGGGGGGGAGGTTGGACTAAGCCCAGATGGTCATAGGAGTTCTGTCGATGGAGCTTACGAAGGTCCCTTTGCCAGAGACTTGACAAATGGAGATCCCTGACGTATCTGACGGGAGCTTTGCCTCCCAAAAGCTCATAGCACGATGGTCCTGATCCATATTGCCTGACCTTTGTTGGTGATGGAACAATTTGAATTTTGAAATAAATAAACGGGGTTGTGAGTAATGTTCCCTCTAAGCTGTGGAGTCCCGTGAGCAAAAATTCTTCTTTGTGAGTTACTGGCATTAAACTTGTGAGCGAGCGATTTGGCCGCTGCATCAATTAGTTTGCTCTGGAGCCATCCTTCCTGAGCTAAGACAAAAATCTGTGAGCCGGAGGCTAAAAAACCGTGAGCTAGCTCACACTAACTCGGCTTAGAGGGAACACTGTGAGTGACCTTCTCAATACCATAGATCTTCCAGTAACTGATCACCTCTTGCAGATTCTTGGCAAAACATGAGTTAAAATTCAGGAAGGCGCAAGATCTTAATGTTGGCTAGCGTGGGTCGAAACCAGTCCTGAAATTTACCTGGGACGAGTAAAAAAGCTTTCGGTGAGCACCCTAATAGGAATCTCAGTGGTTGCATGCTATGGCCTGGGCCATCCCTGGTTTCCCAATTGGTTCAGGTTTTTGTGTATGTTGTATTTTTGCATTTTGTGTGTGTGTGTCCGTGTCCGTGCCTGGAAGTCATGGCAACCTCTGGCGACTCTTAATGGGGCATGGAGGACATTCAGAGAAGTGGCCTGATGGCCTGCCTCTGCTTCCCTACCCTGGTATTCTTTGGAGGTCTCCCGTCCAGGGCTTTTTTCCCCCTGGGGGAACGCTCTAGAATGGAGTTCCGGAACCTCTTTGGCAGAATTCTTTTTCAAATATTTAAAAGTTCATGAGTTTTTTATACAGATTGAAAACTCCAATTCCCTCTTGAAAGTTCCGGCACCTCTTTTTCAAAGGAAAAAAAGTGCCCTGCTCCCATGCAAATACTTGCCAGGGGTCGGCCCTGCTTAGCTTCTGAAATCTGACGAGATTGGGCTTGCCTGGGGCTATCCAGGTCAGGGCCCAAACGGTTCAGTGTTGATTTGGTTTCCTTTGCCTTAGAGTTGCGTTTAAGGGAAGTTCAGAAGTTGTCTTCAGGTGAGGAGGCTCGTTTTGAGACTATTGCACAACTTGTCAGTCGCCCATAGTGATGTTAATTTACTACCGATGAGCACAGCCTTCACGCTTTACCTTGCCATCTTAAGAGGTAGGACGGATGTTGAAATTTCTCTGAAAGAGCCTATGTAGGCCTGCTTTTTTGTTATGCTGCGACTCCTCCTGTCGGGTTGGGACCTGGGAGGACAGGGCTTGAATGCACCGCGGCAGCCAGGCATTCCCTCTAAGGTGTAAAGTCTTTTGAGCAAAAATTCAGCTCTGTGAGCTACTGGTATTAAGGCTGTGAGCGAGCAATTTGGTTACTGCATAAATTAGTTTACACTGGAGCCATCCTTCTTGAGCTAGGACAAAAATGTGTGAGCCGGAGGCTAAAAAACTGCGAGCTAGCTCACACTAACTCAGCTTAGAGGGAACACTGGTGGCAGCTTCCTAGGTGGCCGGTCACATACTCTTGACCTAGCGTACCTGAGAGGGTTGTTATCAGGGGTCATTTTGTAGAAAAAGAGGCACAGGAGCTCATTTGCATAACTCATTTGCATATGCCACACCCCCTGACAAAGGGCAGGCACCTGTAGTAGATCGGGAAGGGAACCCAGGCATGTTTAGAATGCCTTTCTCTCTCTTCCCCATCTGGGGAAGAGAAAGAAAGGCATTTAAATCCCCCCAGATGGCGGGGTGGTGGTGGTCTGCCCCGGGCTCCTTACTGCCGGAGCGCCGTTCTGCCGCGCTCCGGCAGGAAATGACCCCTGGTTGTTGTGAGGCTAAAATGAAGGAGAGGAAAATGATATAAGCCACTTCCGGGGCACCACTGGGGAGAAAGGTGGGGTATAAATGAAAAGAAAGATAAAATAAAGTTATCTTATTATCTGCCTGGATACTCTCTTTGAAAGGAAACCTTATGAAGTTAGTTGTTCTTACCCAACAGATATATACACCATTCTTCTGGAGCAGAGAATACTATGCTTAGAGTCCTACCGTATGCTCAAAAGATCAGGCTAGAATTTGGGACCCGCGGGACTTTCTAAGCAGTAGCTCCCAAGCCTCTGGAACGAGCTTTCAGAGGTGGTAGTTTAAGCAGCTGCCTCCTTGCTCATGTTCAACAAATACCTTTTTGGGGAAAACCAGGGGTCATTTCCTGCAGGAGCGCACAGGAGTGGAGCTCCGACAGTAAAGAGCCCAGGGGGTGGGCATATGCAACGAGTCCCACCCCCTGCTCCCAGCAGCCCTTAGTAAGACCAAGAAGCAGCCAGGTAAGCTGCAGAGCCCCCCACCCCCGGTCCAAAACAATCCAGTGGCAACTTTAAGACCAAGTTTTATTCAGGTACAAGCTCTCCCTCCTCTGCGAGGGCAGATCTACACGTCCCCCCCCCCCAATAGCTAGCAATCCAAAACAGTCCAGTGGAGCCTGAGCGGTGGGTGTTGCCTTCTGACACACTTCCGGTGATGCCAGGGGGTGTGGCATATGCAAACAAGTGAATGCTAATGAGTTATGCTAATGAGCTCCTGCACCTCTTTTTCCACAAACTGACTCCTGGGCAAAACTATGGTAACATCGGCATCAAACCATGGAATTCTGGCCAGCACTCAGAGTGTCCCCAGTATGATGATTTCCGGCTGGCCGGCAGCGGGCAGAAGCCCCCAAAAGGGGGGACCCCCTGCTCGGAACTGGAGAAAGACAAGCCTACTTGCATCCGATGCAGGGAGCTTTGACGCTCGGAAGCTTCTACCACAAAAATGTTGCTGTTCTCTAAGGAGCCCCTGGATTCAAAGCTAGCTTTTCAACTGCTGGCTGGTGTGGCCACCCTCTGAAACTTTTCAGACAAACGTTCCAAAATTTTGAGCTCCTTTCGATTCACTACGGAGGCTTCTTCTTCTTCTTCTTCTTCTTCTTCTTTTGGCTGTGGTTCGGCACGTTGACTTTTATTTTAAAACTGTTTTGTAAGTCACTTTCGTCAGGTGGCGAGGTGGGCCGGAAATGGTTCAGATAAAGCCACAACTGCCGCTAGGATGTGGGGGAGGATAGACGGGGACGGGGGGAGTCTGATGCCCCCCCTCCTCGGACCGTTCTGTTTTGGGGCGGAGCAGCCGCTGGGCTGGTCTCGCCTCCTCCGAGAGTGGGACGCTCACCCAAACTCAAGAGAAACCACTGGAATTGGGCAGACCGCTTGAAGGTTTCCGATGGAGCCAACTGGATTTCCCCCTGAAGGTTCTGCCGTGTAATTATCTGTCTCTTTGCGCTGCCTCCCAGCAGAAGTGCGTGCCAAAGGCAGAGGACACGTATCTCTCCGCCCAGGAGGAGAGGACGGGCCCCTCCCTTTCTCACCCTCTTAAAAATAGCACCCAGTTACCCAACTAGTCATCTCCCCCCCCCCCGAAGACAAACAAACCCTTTCTTCATAGAAGGCGATTCCCCATTCTGGCAGAGTGAGAAACCCAGCCGCGTCTGGGATCGTGTAACCAGGCGAGCGAGTTCGCATGTCTGGGCGGATCTGCTGGGCTGGGTGGCATCACAGCCGGTGGAGTTCACGGGCCGTTCCCCCGATCCTTTTGCGCCCAGGGCCGCTGCAGGATTTCACGGGTGAGACTCTCCTCTTCGTTCCTGCGCCCGGTGCCTGTTTTGCAGGTTTGCCTAACAAGACCCCTTTCACTTCCCGGCTCTTCTGCCCACGCCGCTCATGAAACTTCTGTCTACTGAAGCAGATCACCAAGGTCAGGGCTGTCTACTCCGACTGGCAGTGGCTCTCCAGGTTTTCCGGCAGGGGAGTCTTTCCTGATCCTTTCTTAACTGGAGGTGCCAGGTATCGAACCTGGGACCTTCCGTATGCTATGCCGATGCTCAACCACTTAGCCGTGGCCC